GAACGGGAGTGACATTAGCGGATTTCCACTCAGATGGAATATGACCACTATGCAGAGAATGGTTGAACAGTTCACAGATGCTTGGTGCGATTTCGAGACTACATGCTTGCAAAAGTCGAGATGGAATACCATCGGGGCCGGTTGCTTTCGAAGTATCAAGGTAGCTCAAACATTGTGAAATTTCATCAACATCGAGTGTTATCTCGGAAATTTGTCCCTCTGATTCCAAAGAATCTGGGTAATCACTAGGGGCTGAACGAGTTGAGGATGGATGGAATACCGAAGAAAAGTAAGAGTTGAAAAGTGTCGCCTTTTCCTTGGCAGTTTTAGCTGTGACACCATTGTAGGTAATCTCATTATTTTGACGTTTCCTGTGATGTAGGATGGCTTTGTGGTAGGACCAGAACAGTTTAGGGTTGTCACCAAAGGAATTTTCTATTTAGAAAGGTATTCTCGGTGTTTGCATCTGATTAAGTACTTTATTCGTTGAGTAAGAGCTCGTAGTTTACTCTTTCGAGTAATTGTTTTGTTCATACGGTATTTTTTCAGTGCTTTGTATTTTCTGCTGATTAAATTGCGTACTTCTTTATCCACCCATGGGGGAGTGTTGATGTCTTTGACCGTTTTCATTGGCACATACCTCTTCACTGCAGTCAGGAAAGCATATTTCCATTGTTGCCAGCAGTCATCAATATTATTTGTTGGAACAATACTTATAGGAAATTGTGTAAGAAAATTACGCAGACCATCGAAGTTTCCGTTTTTGTAATCGAAAACCTGGCGCTTAACTGGCGTGGCTTTTTTGAACTTAAGATGAATTTCAAGTTCTACGATGTAATGATCTGTAGGAAAACCACAAGACTCAGGATGGGATAGGGAAACGTCACCAATAATGTTGGGAGTGTTACATAACAGCAGGTCGAGTATATTGCCAGCGATGTGTGTAGGGCTAAGTATGAATTGTTGTAGGAAATTGTCTTCGACTAATTCGCAGAAAGCTTCATTCTCAGGAGAACTTCCGATGTTAATGGGGGTATGTTGATCAGAGGACCATTTAACAGATGGTAGATTAAAGTCTCCTATCACTACAACACGGCTGGATTCCGAATCTCTTTGAAGGGAGTTATTTAATGACTGAAGAACATCAGGCGTAGAGTTTGGAGGACGGTAGAACGTATAAAGTACAACTGGTTTGCTGTTTGGTTTCAACATTTCAATAACGACAATTTCGGTGTTTTCAGGTTCCAGGTCATGTCGACGGGTAACTTGTATACCAGTCTTCACAGCAACAAGAACACCACCACCAATTCTGCCAACTCTGTCACAACGAAAGACAGATCCATAATTAGTCAAGATTTCACTGCTTAAGATTGAATTGTTTAACCAAGTCTCGCATACACATACAACGTCGTAATTACCGCTATATGTCAATTGTTGCAGCAACGAGATTTTACAAATTTTTACCGAGTTGTCCCCAGTTGGATGAACAAGTGCTTTTAGACTTCTAGCATTAAAATACAGAACTTTTAATCCAAGAGATGAAGAATTGCAGACAGGTCCAGGATTAGTTGCTATATCACCAGCGAGTAGAATACACAAGAGAAGGTGCAAATTACTAGTCGTAATGTTAAATTGAAGTCCATATCTGTGATTAGACATGAGAGGGAAAGTAGACTTACGTAAAGTATTATCGCGCGTGGAAGACCAAATACAACACAATCGATTTGATATTGACAGTAGTTCTGACGAAATGCTACAGATATTCTGGGGAAATGTTCTGTCGTTGAATTCAAATTCTGATGGTTTTGATCTTAGTGATAACCAGAAAGTTAAAATGAGAAAAAAGAGGTACCCAAAAACTTTATTTAGCATTTTATTTAAGGTTATTTCGTTTGATTTAATTAAACTCCATTACATAAGACAGTTGTTGCCATGGAGAGCGACGCCAGACGGGATTATTCACTTCGAGCTCACAGTCGGACAAGAAATGGAAATATACTGACAAAAGATACAGATTTGTAGATTCAGGGTTGCAAATAACACTCCAAAAACACTATTTAATGGGGATTCGAACAAGACTATTACAAAGACGATATGTTCGAAGGGGCCGAAGTTATTTTCGGCGAAAGGTATGAATAGTCTATATTTTTGTTCAGACAATTGCGTAATTTGATACAATATTATCGTGTTTGACTTCAAAGGCCCATAAATCGCTACAATGTTGATAATGACTATAACTATAGGGAGGAATTAGTTGAATCTTTTATTTCTGAATCGAATGGTGGTATTTCTGTCTTCATAGCATGCACTGAACCGAGGATATAAAAATTTCTCGCCGTCATCCGCTAGCGGATGACGAGATTGGCTTGTGATGCAAAAGAGTTTTAATGGCGTAATAAGGATAAAAATACCACCGTTCGATTCATCGTAAAAAATTGTACTTACGGATGTCAAATGTATTACTAAACAACACTATTGTAGCGATTTATGGTATTTGAAAATCAACATGAGCTCCACCTTTGAATTTACTATATGAGTAAACTCTTTTAAGAATTTAAAAATTTAAAAAGTTAGAAAAAATAGTGGTTAGGGGTTAGGGGTTAGTGGTTAGGGTGGGGGTTAGGGTTAGTGTTAGGTGCCGCGAATTTATTATTATGATAAATTCAAAATTTGCCGCGAATTTATCATAATGATAAATTCGGACGTGTTTAAGAATTTACTCATATAGTAAATTCAAAGGTGGAGCTCATGCTGTTGAAAATCAAGCGAAATTGTATTGTTGACAAATCGCTCGCAGTACGTATTGTTGATTTGTTCACAAATCACTCGCAGTGCGTTTCTCCTTGTATTTGTAATGCCTAATGGTGCAATAAGGATACTGGAAATACCACCGTTCGATTCAGCGTAAGAAATTGTACTTACGGATGTCAAATGTATTACTATTTAAACAATAGTATTATAGCGATTTATGGCCTTTGTCTTTGAAAGCCAAGCGAAATTATATTGTTGACGAATTGCTCAAAATTATTAACTAATTATAAAAAATGCAGTACGTTTGATCCTTGATAAATTTGTATCGTCTGTTTTCTCTTTTTCGGCCGTATACCAGTGGATTCGTCTCACTTGTCTCTTCATTTTTATAGAATTTTGAGCCCAAAAGCTGCAAAACATTTTATTTTGAACGTTTTAAATTAAAGCGCAGTTTAATCTAGCGTACGGACCAACTGGCGGCCGACAGAAGCATGTAGCGTACTAAATATAACTTTACTTGTAGGCGGAAACGTCGGGTTTTTTTGTAGGGCACCGCATTTTAGTATTGTGTCTGGTTGTATAAAATCCTGAACTGGGGTCATTATACTAACAAAAACTTCAAAACTGAGCCACCTACCTGCAATACAAACCTAGCGAATTAGAGAGCGGCAACACTCTCCCCTTGACAAGCAAATTCGATTGGTATTAGCCTGAGAGCCGCTACGCAGGCTAACTGGTGTGAGACATTAAAATAATAAAGTAGGGTGCATTGCTATTGGGACACAATGCAAATATGGTGACAAAATTTAGTTTTCATTTATATAGTCCCATATAATAAGAAACAACAATGATCGAACAAGTGGGTGAAAGCCAGCATGCGTCCTAATGATGTGGTGAAATACCTGTATGCGTTATCTGATACGCTTGTTTTGGTTCGCTGACCTTTGCCTCTGGGAACTCCGGATACACAGAACATCCTGACGTTCTTCGCTGCAAAACAAAGCCTTCATAATTCTGAAGCAATTGAATGATTTTTGCTGGCAAGCATGTAGACTATAGACCTGGACAAACTATCTAGTCTTATTGTGAGAAGTGAGTGTATTATATCATGGCAGAAGCAATTATTTCAAGAATAGATATAGACTCAACAAATGACATAGCAGAAATAGGATCTATCATGAAACGCTTGAAAATATCAGGTGTGGGTCTTAGTACAATCGAAGAAATGAGAAATAAGGTTCATAAAGCAATTGAAGAATCACAAAGAACAGCGGGTTGGTCTTCGGGAGAGGTAATTCTAAACAGTTTAAATTTTATTGAACGCCTAATTACGAGATTTGCTATATGAATCCAAATTAAAATTCCATAAGCTGGCCATACTTCCGCAATAGACATTTTTAAACCACTGTGAACGTAGCCGCGTATTGAGTCTCTGATTCGTCCTCGGATTGGGTGTCATATTCGACCTCACGTTCAACTACATTCAATAATTCGAAAGTGGATTTTTGAAACCTTTTATCTAGTCACTTAATTAATTTAAGGGTACTTTTAGACCCTCTGACGGCATCGAACCTGCCATTTATCATTAGCTACAAGTACTTTGGTTGACTTTTTTTTGCCAAAATTGAGCAATTGGTGAAAATAATTGATCATGAAAATAAGAAGTTTTACCTATGAATTCATCATTTCTATTAGACGTCTGTCTTACTTCCACTCCGCAGATAAATTAATTTTATCTTATTCGCGATCATTATATGATATTCATTGTTCGGAAAATTAATCTCATTCTAAAGCTAAAGAATTATAAGAAAGTCGAAGTGCGGAATTTCAAACACTTTAACGCTGACAATTTTCAAACTGACTTGCGCAATCTGAACGATGGGAAGTGATAGGTAATTATCCTGATGTTGATGGGATGTGGGAAACTTGGAATACTCTTTTCTCAGGGCCGTTGCGAAGGGATATGGATTGGGGG